ACCCTCCAGGGGTGCTGAGTCTAGCTTCTGCCTTTGTCAGGTCCCAAGTTCTCCCCCACGGTGACACTCAGTGTGAGTTGTTTTTCAAAATGTGCCTCTCCCTTCTGATCTGCTGAGAAGGGAAAGCAACATAAAGAGAGCGAGTAGGCTGACTTGAGTATCCAGGAAGAGAAGGCTGGGATCCTCTCAAAAGATCGATGGATGGAAAAAATGGCAAGGGATGCCCACCTGTGGGGGAGGGGGCATGCGTGGGCAGGAACAATGCTGGGAACAGTGAATCACTGAAGGCCTGGGAGACAGACAGTCACCGACATGTTGGGAGAAATGATATGCAGAAATCAAAGAACTGTGTGTGTGGGGCTTGAGGGTCCATGGGGACTTGGAGAGCACTGGGCAGCCATGCTTTGCTCAAGGGGAATGAGGACACCTGCCTGGGGATGTCCCCAAAGGTTAAAGCACAAATGGATCTGTAAAAGAACCTGGCTGTGGCCTCTGTGAATAGTCAGGACTGGGGAGTTCTGGCCAGAGTAGGAAGGGGAGGGATCCCAAAGCAGACAGCTTCTCAGTATAACTGGAGCCAATCTTTCCTAAGAAAGAGAAAGAGACATGGAGACAGAGAGACAGAGACAGGGACAGACAGACAAACAGAAACAGAGACAAAAACAGAGAGACAGACACAAACAGACACAGAGAGACCGAGAGAAAACCCTTAGGTGGGAAGTCACAGTCAAGGAAGAGACGGTTTTAAAACCACGCTCTTACAAGTTTAAAATGCAGAGAACAGCCCCTAGACCTAGCAGCGAGGCGTCTATGAGCCATCGCTCACAACCGCACACGTCCGTGGGGGCGGCCATCCACACTCGGCTATTAAAACTCATCGTTTGACAGGAATGACTCACACCTGCCCCCGGTCCCCATTCACTTGGATGGGGCGGAGCTCATTCTAACAAGCTCCCGAAGGGACACTGAGGCAGATGGTCCCTAGACCGACCGCAAAGTCGTTTGTCACCTCAGGAGAAGAATCAGAATAGAGGTGGGCACTGAGCCATGACATATTCCTCACAAGCGTCAGTGGGGAGAGGCGTGGTGTGAAACCAAAATGTGCCACCCACTGGAGCCCTGGGCTTTGGATTGTTCCTATACCATAAGGAAGCCATATTATATAAGTTACTTCTTTCTATGCTGAAGTTAAGTTACCGACAGAGGGGTGGAAAAAAAACATAAAAAGTAACACCCCATCCCAAGCACCACCCTGAGGTGCAGCCAGGAGCCCTCTAGAAAATTCTGCAGGGCAAACAAGGGAACCCCTAGGTCCTGCATCTCACTGGTCAAATGGCACGTGATCCTTGGGTTTTGGTCAGGGAAAGTATAGGAGGAAAATAATTCAATGCCCAACCTATATGTGGGCACTGCTCTTAACGAAGCTTCCAGAAGCACCAACAGAGATATGTTTGGTCTCACTACACTTCTGAATCTCTTACTCTCTTTGGCAAGGATTCTGCCTTCCCCTTCCCAGGTTCTTGACGGACCTGCGTAATAAGCTAGCTGTACCCGAAGTGTTAGAGGGTGACTGAGGCTGGAGCCATTTTTCCCACTAGTGACTACAGAAGACTCGTATGTATACATGGCAAAGCCATTCCACGAGTTACATAGGACTCCATCCATGGAGTCGGCCTCTGGTGCCCACTCAGCCTACAAGCCCACCAACTTAGCCGAGGGTTGACTGTAAGTTACAAAAGATGAACCCTTACTCCTCTCTGTATCTATCTACTCAAGCCAGCACCCAGCAGGGCAGTGGTCCTGAACGGGTGCATTAAAGGGCACTGATGTCCGACGGCAAACAGCACGGCCCAATCATCCCGGTACAGAGTCTGAGACACAGAAGCCGCTGAGGTACCTGTCAAGAGCCAGTCTCCTGGCCTCTCCCCATCTAAGACTCAGTCCATCGGATACTGTGGGATCTGTCTACATTTGTCACAGGTATCCAGAGGGGATATTAGACACGTGAAATATGAGACCAACAGCCTTATCCTCATGGGAGCTTGCAGGCGCCAACTCAAAAGGATGTAATTAAGCAAAAAGTTTGGGATGGCCACACACACAATAGAGGTGGGCGGCTTCTTCCTCTCTGTTCCAGCTGGGGCCCTGGGATGTGTGAATACACATTATCTGGAGAAGATGGCAAGATAGCAGGTCAAGGAGGAGGGAGGTCCAGAATAGCTACAAATGTCCAGGGACTTCAGCGGGTCGGCTGGCTAGCTAATTTCTCAGGTGATGAAGTATCTGGCCCCCATTAAGCAGGTCAACATTCAAGGTAGGTCAACAGAGCAAAAGGCAAATGGTTTGCACTCCACTTTAGAAGGCAGCACAGGGCATGGGGAGAGACACCCTCTCTGTGCATCACACGGCTGTCTGGCAGTCAGTCAGCAAACCTTCTCCCTAGTGTTCCTCCTTACTCTTGGTGGAGCTGCAGGTCCTGCAGGGGACCAGCTCACCAGCTCAGTTACTGGGATCCTGCCCAGGGCTTCTGCTCTTGTACCCCATGAGCCGAAGACGCTTCTTCCCCTTACCACCCTTTCTGCATCAACTGGGGATTCTGCAACTACCAGCAGCTGTCACGGGAACATCAAACGAGGGTGTTTATGCCAAGCTTCGTTTACAAGAGCTACTTTCCCCCAAGAGATGAATGTTTAAAACAAACAGTGCTTCCATATGCTGGAAGCACAGGCATATCAGCACTGGGGATCCCCAGACGGAAACATGAGTCAGGCTGGGGCAGATGCCTAAATAAATCGTGTTAGGGTGAAATTCCTCTCTGGAGCAGGAGGAAGCTCAAAGCAATTGCTCAGGGTTCCCCTAAAGATGGCAAGCTCTCCCCAGCGGAGCGTACTCAGAGTGGTCCACACCCAGCATCACCACTGACAGGCACTTAGTTCATACCCTAGCCAGCCTGTACCACCTGCATCCCTGCATCCACGTTCATTCTCATTCCATCAGGGGCATCTGAGGCCCCTGCACATTGGGCACGGATTGTCATGTGCCCATTAAGTATTTCCCGAAGCCCCTGGGACTTCAGGCTCTGTTCTCCGTATATGAAGACGACTGTGGGGATACGCAAAGGTGTTCTGAGAACGGAGGGGACGTGAGACTGGAACACACAGCTTGCCCAAAGACACCAGCCACTGAGGTCTTTGCAAAGGAGCAATCTGGCAACTGAGGTTGTCACAGCATGAGAAGCTGGAATGACCCAGGGTCACTGCCTCTGCCTTTAATTCTGCTTCTAAGAGGGAGGAACTCATGACCCAACTCAAGCTACGTATAGTCTACATTCTGCCCTGAGCTTCCAAGACAGGGCAGAAAGGAGCAGGCAAGAGAGCTGGCACAGGGAGAGTTAGGACCCCTATGGTCTGGGTGTTGGGGTTCGCCCTCCCTTCAGAGTCACAGCTTGAAACTGTTTTCCATTTAACAGTACCAAAAGGCAAACCCTCTGGATGTGATAAGCTCATGAGAAGGGAACCATCTTGAACGGGATTGGTGGCTTTATAAAGGAAGCTCCGCCCAGTCTGGGCAACCGTGAGTCCAAGGCAAGCCTGGTCTGAACTTAGAGGCTGTATAAAGAAGTTAAAGAAGGGCTGGAGAGATGGCTCAAAAGTTAAGAGCACTGACTGCTCTTCCAGAGGTCCCGAGTTCAATTCCCAGCAACCAAGCAACCACATGGTGGCTCACAACCATCTGTAATGGGATCCGATGCCCTCTTCTGGTGTGTCTGAAGACAGTAACAGTATATATATATAAAGTTAAAGAAGCATGACAGGAGCTGTACTGTCCCATCCCCAATGTGTGGACACAGCCAGAAGTCACGCTTCACCTACGAGGAACAGCCCTCAAACCAGCCCTGACTCTGTTCTCCCTCCACGCTGGACCTCCCAGTCGCTAGAACTGTGAGAACTAAGTTTCTGTGGTGACTCAGTCTTGGGCACTTTGTGGCAGCATCCTGACTACATCGAAGCAGGACATGACACAGAAATGAAACCCACCACCTACCGACGCTGGTGACACCAGAAGGGCAGGCACTGCTCATCATGTGCTAGCCTGGAAAACCCCATCTGTAGATAGGGTGGACAGAAGGGCAGCCTCCAGGCAGCCCCTCACTGGGCACTATAAGATGGCAAGCAAAGGCAGTGAGACTCAGGGGAGGTGCTGGCCCTCTGGGGATGACTCCTGTCTCCTGGGATGTGACAATTCTTGAGCTGCCCCCAGAGATGTAGATCTGGTGTGGTGACCACAGCCTGGGGTATCCTACAGTGTAGTAGGGAATTTCTCTTTTCTGTATTTAACAGTATGAGGTGATTGGATGTCCCCTTTACATTACAGGATCTTATGACAGTGGCCCAGGCTGACCATGAACTCAACCTGTAGCCCGGAGTGACCTTACGTTTGCAATCCTCCTACCTCAGCCCCCCAACATAGCTGGGATGACAGGCCTGGCTGTAGTTAGGCCTTTGTGACCCATCATAGGTCTTGTGTGAGCCTGTGTGACTTGATATTCCCACATCATGCGAAGGTGTCTAATAACCAGCATAGGTATGGGGTCAATTGTCCATGGCCCTCACGTGAGAGACAAAGGTAGAATTAACAGGTAGCAAAGTGTCAAAGACAGAAGGTAGGTAGCAACTTAGATATTTCCCTAGGTTGGAAGAAAAATCAGACCAAAGGGCTGAAAAGGTGGCTGGCTTGGTTGGTAGAGTCCTTGCCTAACAGGCATAATGCCCCATGTTCCACCTTCACCTAAGACAGGAAATATCAGTGTTTACATGTAATCCCAACACCCAAGAGGTAGATGCAGATGACAGGGAGGTAAAGGCCATCCTAGAATACTTGGTGAGTTTGAGGCCAACCTGGACTACATAAGATCCCCCCTCAAACAACCACAATAACAACAAAACAGCTAGCCTCCAGCCCAAACCAACCCAACCCCGAGAGAAAGAAAAGCCACAAACCAACTCCGTTCTCCACCAGTGCGGAGTGGGTCCCATCACAATCACTGGTCTCCTGCTCTCCAAGCTGGTCATTCAACTCCAAATCCGGCTGATGGGACCCGTTTCCAAAGTGTGACTCATCCTTCTCGGAGCCAGCATCTCCGTTCTCCAAGCCGTTCTGTGCCTTCTTCAGGGGCATGATTTGCAAGCCACTGGGGGTAGTCCTATAGGACACAGTCTTGGTGGCCCTGTCTGGAGCCTTTCCCGATGAGCCCTTCTTGGGCCTGGACAGGGGAGAGTTGACACGCTTCCGCTTGTGGGAAGCTGATTTGCTCTTCCCAGGTTCCAGGGGCCGATGGGAGAGTCTTTCCACTGGCAGGCTACGGGTGTCACGGAGGAGCTTGGAGGCTCCGGCCTGCTTCCCTGACTTCACCCTCTTATCCTTGGACAGGTGAAGTCCGTTGAACTCGTCAATAAACTCCTCACAGTGCAGGAGGTGATGTTCCGGCTCCCACGTGTCCTCGGTGCTGCCGTAGCCTTTCCATCGGATAAGATATTCCCATTTCCCCTTCTTGTTCTTCCTCTTGTCCACAATCCTTTCAACCTGGGGATGCAAGATTGAAGAGTGAGAAGAAGTAAGACCCAAGGATCATTTTCCAAAGGGCCTCCAAGCCATCTTAGGTCCAGCTACAAATGGACAGGCAGGCTGAGAGTCCCAGCTAAACATCTGGTAGTCTGGCCACCGACACCCAAGCTGGAAATTCAGAGTGGAAACAAAATCATGAACAGTCAAGCTTGCTTGTGGCCTGCAGATGTGGCATGTACTTGAAGAACCTTAAGACAGACAAGAATGTGACATGTCGAGAGGAAGCCATCGGCAGTTTCTGTTGAGAAATAAAGTGTAAAGTGACAGGTGACATGTAAGATTGTACCTCCCTAGTTACTCAGTGTTCAAGGAAAGCCTTGTGTTTGGATGTACAAAAACTACCCCATGCTTTCCTGCATAACTCACTTGGCACTTTATCTGGGCTTCAAACGGATTTCACGGGGTCATAAAATAAACTGCCCAGCCTTTGCTACCCTGAGGCTCTGGGGCTTCTTATTTTAGGTAAGGGTCTTTGTTCCCATCAATCTTGGGAAAGAGAGAGGGGGAGAGAGGGAGGGAGGGAGAGAGAGAGAGAGAGAGAAAGAGAGAGAGAGAGAGAGAGAGAGAGAGAGAGAGAGAGAGAGAGAGAGAGAGATAACAGTCCCAGAAGTGCCATGGAGGGAGCTGGCTTGTTTTGGAGCTCGGCTTAAAGTGTGGTGTTTTAGCTTAGCTACAGCAACACGCCTGCCTTACAGACATGAGGCCCTGGGTTTGACTCTGCAGCCCTGCCTCCCTCTCAAAACTAAAACAGCATGATTGTGTTCATGGTGGCTCTTCAGGCCCACTGGGAGCACCCACCCACACTCTTGCTGAAATCACACTACTACAAGCGTTCTCTAGGAAATTCTTATTTTCAGGGCTGCGGAGTGAACCCTGACTTTGGAAACCCTTTCAGACAAAGGTTTCTATTCTTATAAAAGTAAGTACTATTAATTGAACAATAATACAGATGGCATCATACTAACTTATCTTTGTGATATCATTGCTATTTTTATATAATAAGGTTTTTGTATTCATGTGTAGAAGTCTGTTGAGGTGGGCTAGGGCATGTGTAGAGCACAGGCAGAGGCCAGCAGAGGGTGTCGGGTCCCCTGGAGCGGGAGTCACGGGTGATGAGCTGCCTGAGCAGAATTTTAAGAACTAAACTCACTCAGGTCCACTGCAAAGAGCAGTACATGCTCTTGACTTGCTGTATCATCTCTCCAGTCTTTGCAAAATAAATCTAATGTACAGTTGTCATTAACATACACTAGGCATTTCTGAGGGGGACACTGTACTGAAGGATGGCCTGAGATTACATTTTCCCCAGACATCCCAATAAGCAAGCATCTTCTCTGTCTCTGATTTACAGTGATGGCACCAGGACACAGAGAGATTGAGTCGCTTAAGTCCCAGAGTCGATGAGGGAAGGCCTGGATTAGAATAATTCTCACCCTGAACTTTGTCTCTCAAGTGCTCTGCGGGGCCAACTGTCTCAGCTGCAGGAATCTTTCATGTTGGACAAAATGGATTTGCATCAGTACAACTGGGTTCTCCCCAATGGCAGTGCCCACCCCCACCCCCCGGTTCTATACAGGAATGCAACGTGGAGGCAGAGAGGGGTCCAACACTTGTTGCTAGGCTACAAGGTGCCAGGCATCCTGCCTGGGAGGCAAGATCATTCTCCCATGGGACAGTTGAAGGGACTATGTACGTTAGTTAGGGTTTCTATTGCTGTGATTAAAAACATCACTGCAACCAAAAGCAACTTGGGAAAGAAATTGTTTATTTTAGATTACAACCCTTGGGTCACACTCTATCACTGAGGGAAGTCAGTGCAGAAACTCAGGGCAGGAACTGAAGCAGAGGCCATGTTGGAATGTTGTTTATTGTCAGCAATTTGGCTCTCTATGGCTGCCCCAGTCTGCTTTCCTATACAATTCCAACACATCTGCCCAGTACTGGTACCACCCACAGTGGGCCGGGCCCTCCCACACACCCCAATTATTAATCAAGAAAATGCCCTACAGATTTATTTGCCTATAGTCCAGTTTTATGGAGGAATTTTCTAAGCTCAGATGCCTTCTTTCTAGATATGTCTAGGTATGTGTCAGCTTGATAAAAAAACAACCAGGATATCATACATGAGGTAACTTGTCCAGGTGCACAAGCCAGGGTACAGTAGAGTAGGTATGAACCTACTGTCCATGTATAAGCCATGTGGTACTATGTAGAAACATGTTCCTTTGAATTCCAGGGACAAATAAATCCAAGGTAATGCTGGGTCTGTGTGAATAGCTGATATACCTAAGTAAAGGGTCATTCTTATTTAAAACTTTAAAGACTTATTTATTATGTGTATGGGGAGGGGAGTACATACGTCACAGTGCACTTGTAGAGATCAGAAGACAGCTTACAGGAATTAATTCTTCCCCATGTGGGACCCAGGGATAAAACTTGAGTCATCAGTTTGGTGGCAAGCGCCTTTACCTGCTGGCTTGTGTCATGTGACCTAATGTCACGTGACCTAAGCTCAGTTACTATCCTTTCATCCTCGTTATTCATTCGAATTTGGTTTTGCCAGTGGTGACCAGTCAAAGCGCAAATAATACGTGTCTTCACACTGCCTGGCTCTCAATGAGACATCTCCGTATCACACTTCCTCACCCTACGGCTCAAGCAGGAAGAGGGGGCAGAAGTTAAGAGGCAGAGGTTGGAGGGGAACTTGAGAGAAACAGTGTCCTCTGGACATGACAGGGCCACTGCAATTATGAACTCAGAGAAGCTGCAGCTGCCTTTATAATACTTGCATAAGAACAAGCCAGCTAACAGTCCAACATGGAGGGAGAAGGGGTCACAAGCCTCCTGAGCCTTCCCCAGTTGCTTCTGGGGAAGGAGCAGGGTTTTCTGTAAAGGTGCAGACCCTGGTAAATTGACCACATTCTGGGAGAAGTCTCACATTCATTCACATATGGGCAGCACAAACTAGATCTGGTAGGTTCTAAAGGGGAGAGTAAGAAAATACAAAGTCTGGAAGGAGGGAAGATGGATGCTGGGACCTTGGAGGACTTAGGAAAGTAGGGAGGAATTGGAGTGCGATCAAGTATACTTTATTATTGGACAGAATTCTCAAGAATTCATAAAAAGCATATCTTTCTTAAAAATGTGCTGGTGCATGCTTTGACTGTTAGTACTTGGGAGGCTGAGGCAAGCAAATGTGAGTTTGAGGCCAGCCTGGTCTGTGGAGAGCTCTGTTCTACAGCTCCAAGTACTCAAACTCCATTAAAAAAATTTTTTTTTAAAACACAGCATTCAAACGTATATTTTTTCCTTGTTTCCTTTGGTGATACTGAAGACTGAACCCAGGATCCAGGACCTTGTGAATGCTAGGGAAGTGGTCTCTTAGGAAACAACATTGCTACTCTTCAACTGGGAGTTTCAATGACCATAAGATACATTTACAGAATGAAATTCTGACTCGCCGACGATGAGCTACACGTCTGCGCTCCTGAAACTTACGAAAGAGCATACAGGAGGCAGAGGTGGGTGCATCGAGGGTGACAACTGTTGTAAACTAATGGATGTAAGGGGCCCTTATGTGACTTTGCTCGTTGACAGTTGGGAAGTTTTGTCCACTGCAATCATTCCCCAGCAGAAGCCATGAGAAATAACACCTTTACTTCTCTGCTTTAATAAATATCAACACAGCTAGATCACGCTTCTTCTTCATAATACTGCCTCTCAGACAATTTTAACTGACGCCTTAATTGATTCGTCTCTACTTAAACTGACCTCTTTCTATTACAATTCCCTTTCTAACAAGGCTCTGTTTTAGATGCATTGCATAATTCACACAAACTCAGTAGCTTTTTTTTAAAAAAAAAAAGATGAAACTAGGTCCAATTCATTCTGGCCCCCGCCCCAAACAATAGAGTCAAAAGTCTTGCTGGACAATTATAACACCTCAAAAAGCTCTGAGGGTTCCTGAAAGAGCCTGCAGCTTTGCTTCCTTTGAGCACACTGTGAGGAGAGACTCTGGGCAGCTGAGAGAACCAGAAAAGGGAATGAGCAACCTGACCCTGCCTAGAATGGTAACTCATGCAAGGACACCAGCCTGGAGTCAGCAGCAAGTACAGAGCTCTTGAGAGCTAAGGGATATTTGACAGCATGGGGGTCTCTGCTCTAGAAAGTGCAAGCTTGGCTCCTGCAGTGAAGAGATTCCTCCCCTAGGTAAAGCAGAAGGCAACGCCACACAGTGGGTGGATGTGCAAGTGGATCATGACAGATGATGGACAGGTAGGTAGGTGGATGCAAGGGTAGATAGATGCATGAACGGATGGATATCTGGGTGAACGATGGATGGTTGGAGAGATGATGAGTGTATGATTACATGGATGGATGGACAGATGAATGCTTGGATGGACAGCTGGCTGACCATGGCTAGATGGGTGGGTGGATGGATGGATGGATGGATGAACAGATGGATGGATGGGTGGGTGGGTGGGTGGGTGGGTGGATGGATGGATGGATGGATGGCTAGATGGGTGGATGGATGGATGGATGGATGGATGGATGGATGGATGGATGGACAGATGGATGGACGGATAGATGGATGGATGGATGGACGGACGGACAGATGGGTGAACAGATGGATAGATGGATGAGTGGGTAAATCCATCAAAGGATGAATGACAGAAGAACAGACAGCTGACAGGTGCAAGGATGGGTAGAGGGTCAGATTCATGAAGCAATGAGCATATGGTTGGATGGCGGTCACATTAAAAATGAACTTAGTATAATACCAAGAACCTAGGCTTTGGAGCAAGACTATCTTGGCTAAACCCCCTATTAAGCCCTACTATGTATTCCTAAGCACATTTATAATTGTCTTTGGGCCTCTGGTGACTCATATAGCAAGGAGCAAGGAGGAAGTAACTGGTCCATTTCACTGGATGACTGTGGACAATAGACAAACAGGA